TATAATTGATTTGGGATTGGAAAAAATGAGGCCTACTCCAAAACCTTTAACTTGATCTGCTCGTACAAAACCTTCTAAATTTCCAAAATACAATTGTGTATATCTCCCTAGGGATGAATAATACAAAAGGCTCCTTAGCAAGTCCTCAGAAAGAACCAGTTTGACAAAAAAGTCTAGGAGAATTCTACAGCTGAAACTCTTACCTCCTGTTTTCTGGCTATGGATTAAACGTTTTGGAGTGAACAAGTACAGAGTAATTTTCAGATCACGACCCTTGGCATTTCTTTTTCCTTTGATTTGGTTCTCTGTACTCAAATACTCACCACTTCCATAAACGTTCTGAATTGCTCAGAGTGGAGACAAAGCAAAGGTTTATAATAATCTGTATTTTATAGATGAGAACACTAAGACACAGAGAATGTATTGGTTTCAACATTACCTATTATTAGAATGATGACTGGATCCTTCATTTACTGAGTCCCACTGAGCAGCTGCCCTCCTGCCTCCTCAATAATTTGTGTTTAGTAGGGTTTATGTGTGAATATCAAACAGCTGGGCTTCCTGTTGGCTCTTTGTGATCTGACACAAAATTAAAGAGGACACAAGAGCTGCACAAAGACAAAACAGAAGACAGTGGTACCAGCAAACGAATTGCTGTTTGCTGATTTCAGTGGAGATGAACTATTTCCCTTTAGCTGAATGCAGCGTGGAAGTAGGACAAGAATTCGTGTCAGAGTTATTGGGTGACTGGCAGAATCTTCCCAGCAGAGAGCACAGGGAAGGAGAGGACCAGAAGAAATCTCCCAAAGAGAGAAACCAGGATCTCTGAATGCAAGCCTCAACCTGAAATCCCTTTGCATCCCTGCTCCTCTTTCAGATAGGCAGGAAGACTCTTGGGACCTGTACTTACAGTGATGTACAGTCTCAAAGTCACTGCAAATGTAATTTACAATCCCTTACATGGAAAGCAGTCTTAGCATAAATCAGGCTCCTTTGCACAAATCCCTGACTAAAAAAAGTTGATTTCTCATCTCTAGTGCATGTTCTTTGATTCTTGGTGCTGTACTAACTAAATATTGCTAGAACTCTGACTAGAACATCAGAAAGCTTAAACAATTTATTAGCTCCTCTTGTATTTTGCTCAGTGTAATACAACAGATCCCAGTTCTACTTTGTCAGCTCCATCTGTTAATGTTTATTCTCAATCTTTCTCCCATAACATCATCTTCTCCTTTTTGCACAAATTTCTCATCTACTTTCATTCTTTTCTCAATAACAACAATCTGCAGGCAAAATACTAATTCTAGGCAAAATACTAATTCTAGTCTTACTGCCTCTGATTTTTCCTTTCTCTTTGACTCAGAGTTGTGAATTATGAGAGTTTATTTTGTTAGCAGAACTGGACAAATATCTCTTATTTATGAAACAATAATGCCTTTCCGAAGTTTTTACTTAAAGACATTCTAAGTAGCTGTAGATGTAATTTAAAGAAGTTGACAGACAACAGAGGCTGATACTAGTTGGTGCTGTATCTCCTCTGGTTCCCTAGCTTAGGGATTTAAGAGAGACCAGTTCACGCCATTTTGTCTATGACTTGTACATGTCTTTATAGCACTGGGAAAGGGGACAATCCTGCAGCTAGTGAAGGCAACTAGGATCATCAATTCAGGAGTGGATGTTGGCCACATTGTATTATTCTGCTGTAATATCAAAAGGCTGAAAATTCAGGTGTTTTGACCTCAGAGCTTCCTGAATGGGGAATCTTGCAGTACCTCTTACTTAACATTTTCCTCTTTGTGGCCAGTATAAGGGAAGTGACTTGAGTATAATCTAAAGGAGCCAGTCAGGGATTTATCACTTAACCTGCCTTCACAGAGACAGGCTAAAAACAGCCTCAGCTGCTCCTGAACTAAGTACTCCTTAATGTGAAGCAAGAATAACTGTGGCGTAAGTGAGCTAACTGGATTTTCTATAGCATCACTGATGTATGCTAACTTGCATGAACGTGATGAATGGCAAAGTTCTTTTCAAATTTGCCCTTCTCCAAAAAATGACTGTTTTTTAAAGAACGTTACAGAGCTATATCCATCAAACCGAGAAGGTTTAGTCTATCTAATACTTTGGCCGCTGCTTCTCTCCTCCATCACTTCAGATGTCAGCACACCTTAACCTAAATCGCAGTCTAGTACTAGATCTTTTATACTTTATGGTGCTGCTGGAAGAGAAATGTAGCTTCTAATAGGTAAACATTCACTAACTACTCCCCAGCAACGCTCAAGAAAGGCATCTTTTGGAAAGTTTCTATGACTTATCTTCAGAGGTCACAAAGAAAAACAAAAAAGAAAAAAGGAAAAGGAAGCAAAACCCACCAGAATTACAGCTCAGAAAGAGCAGCTGTCTATGAAGATTTCCTTGCTTAGCTGCCCAGTTACACAGCTGTTTTGACTGGTTACAAAAATATTTTTCTCTTCTATTTTATGATCCCTTACCCTGATTAAGAGAGCAGAACTCTTGGAATGGAGATTCTCCTGAAAATCGTGGGATTTTCAAATCCACATTTGAAATGCCAGTTCTGGCAAGTGTTCCAAACAGTAAGACACATTGCTAGCTGCTTCTTGGAAAGCTAACATGCAAGGAAGCAGGCTTCTTTACAAATCCAGAAAAATATTTGGGGAAGAAGAATAAAAAGTTAAATGGGCACAAAGAATGCAAATTCAGATTCAGTTTTTCTGTGTAGACATCTACACATCATCATCCAAAGGACTTTCTTTACAACATCCAGCTCTGATAGCGGTAGCAGTGTAACTGTGATAGCACAAATTGCCAAAACAAAACACTTCTCACTGCCCAACCTGGTAAGCTTAGAATGGAATCAGGCATCCCTGCCCAGGATTCACTTACACCTGTGGATCCTCTGGCAAATTATATTTTATTAGCAGAAATACAAGTAGCTTTCACACACACTCTAAGCAAAAGTTGAATGAGACCTACCTATTTATTTACATTTAATTAAAGATAATAGGTTTTTAGATGAGATATCAAGAAGTCTGCCTCTATGTTTTACTGTTTCCACAGGTAACAGCTGTACTGTTATATAGCTATATTGTTGTATAATAAGAGTTAAACTCGCCTCGTACTTTCTAAATAGGAACATTCTCAAATATATGCCACAAACACATAGTCACTACCCTTTTAATGCCTCACTTGTCATTAGCCTTACAATGCAACAGAAACAGATCAGCTGCTTAATTTAGGAGGATGCTTTCTACAAGCATCTTTTATCCAACCTGGGATAAATCATAGAAACAGTCCAAAAATACAACATTTTTTATTAAACATGAGAAACTACAGAAGCAGAACTATTAAAATTCTTAAGTTGATCATATCTTGATGCTTTAGGAATCAAAAGGGAATTGTATGCAACTCTCATATTACTAGACGGATCATTCTACTGGGACTTACTTTTCCCAGCATGTTTCTACAGTTTAAGTAGTACAGAGACATTTTTCAGTTTTCCCCATTTAAGTTGACACGTTTGCCCTATCTTGGAACGTACTCAACTATCTCACTCATCTCTGACTTGATAAGACAAGTGCTTAAGTTAATTCTGAAGCACTATCTATCTAGGAAGAGATTGTATGCAGACAGCCAATAAAGGCTGGAATTATACTCCTCAGGATTTAGTCTCTACATGTCTGCAGTCATGGAGGGCAAATCACTCAGTACTTCAGTTTCTCTAAAATGTAGTTATCTTCATAAAAATGTCAAGGTCCTCCAGTGAAAAGGGCTTCTTTGATTCGATTTGTTTGTACTATCATGGTGCTAAGAAAAGCCAACAGAGATCAACTTTCTATTTTACCCAAAAAGTGCATAACAAATAAAAGGTGATAGAGAAGGAAGGAGACAAGGAAGGTCGTGACCATTTTATCTGGATGGGCACTGAAACACCAAGCAACTGAATCCCTGAGCCAGCATCCTGCAGATCCATATCAGAACCTCCATATCAGAACCAGGAGTTAGCTCTGCAATTCTCCTCTAGTGCAGGGCTCCAGCTGCAATGCCATTCCCCTTTGCAAATACAGCTTTCAGTAAAGCAAAATATTTCTGCATTTTTTAGATTTGAAAAAGCAGCAAGAGACACTTCAACAGCATAGAACTGAGTTAAAGCAAGGGAAATCCACTGTAAAATCTCTCCCATATCCCTGTGCTTGTTGCACACAATGTGTTTTGACAAGTCCAATTGTAGATATCACCAGTCATGGGGCAAACACTTTTCTACCCTTCAGTCCCTTTCATTGTGTAGATCTCAAAAGAATTAGCCTGCCCTGGTAAGCAACAGAATTTCCTCTGCTATCACTCCACTATCTCAGTGAACAACACAGAGCACTATATTCAATTTAAATTTACCAACTGTTGCTTTTCCTATCTGGTCACTTTTTTGCAGCCTCACAATAGCCTACTCGAAAAGAAATTGAAAGTAACTTTGGAACTGCCCAAGTTGCAGGAAGTCAGCTGTTTCCTTATCTAGAATCACAAAATAATTTAGGTTGAAAGAGATCTCTGAAGGTCATCTAATACAACTCTTTAACCAAAGCAAGGCTAACTTCAAAAGTAAATCAGTCTGCTCAAGGCCTTTACTGGCCAAGTTTTAAAACCTCCAAGGATGGAGATTCTCTGGGCATCTGTTCAGTATTCAAGCAAGAATCAACGAATGACACTTCGAAAATCCCCAAACACTTCCAGTGAAGGAGAGAAGAGAGTGCTATCATTATGGCACTATGGTGCTAAACAGACACTGACGGGCCAGTGAGAACATAAAGGCATTGTGGGAAGAAGCACAATACATGGCTTCACAAAGCAGATTTCACTAAGTGTTAGCGATGTCAGTAGGGCAGCTACTACTGCAGTGCAGCATCCATTTCTGCTGCCCACAGGATGAGATATGTAAAAACCTTTTTCCCCCAGTGACTTCGCTTTGTTTCTGTGTATCTGGTATGTAGGCGAGGAGTTCTGCACCTGCATGAAAGCCGTGGAATCCATGACCTTGGCTTGCCTCGCTGGCAACTTTCCCTCTGCCTCTTGGTGGTGGTAATCATTCTTTTCTTTAGTCTCTGGAAAGGCGTGAAGACTTCAGGAAAGGTAGAGCTAATATTGTCCTTCTATCTCAACTACGTTCTTTGTCTCCTTTAAGAAGTCTCCTAATTTTAGAAAGCAAGAGACTAAATCACTGCTTCTGAGGGATTCTCAGGGACCAAACCATGTGAGAGGCCTTCATATATGTACAGTGGAAATACACAATCCAGATTCAGCCTTCATTTCATTTACAAGTTTTGCTTGTGTGATGTTCCAACTGGAAATTTTATTAGCATATGATTTTCAATTCAACATTAGAGGTCTCATCCAGAAAATATTTTGAAAGACTTTAAATTGTCTTAAATGTGCCTCCTATTCTTAGCCAAATGTACTAATGTTTTGATGGTTTAAGATGTTTTGGATTTATTATATAAAATGCCATGACAAGAGAAATATCTGATGAAAGTAATTTGAAATTACTCTTTGACATCCCTCAGAAAACGCCTCAACAGAAATTCTAGGGTTGGATACATCCGAGAGCTTTTTGCACATTTTCATGAAAATATCACCTAACATCACGCAATGACTGCACTTGCTTAGTAAACAAATATATAGCTGAACAGCTAATCAGCAGTCTAACACACACTGGTAACATATAAGCACTCCAAGTTTTCTGTTTGTCAAAACTGTCTCCTACTGGTATCTGTAAACATACATACGTAAAGCCTCATGATACATAACAGCATTCCCCCCCTCCCCCAAGATGTTCTATAAAGAGCTTCTCCATCAAACTGAATGGACAAAACCAAGAAAGTGACAGCTGTATTTTTCACACATTCTTCAATCTTCTGTAACAGCTGATTAACCTTTGGGACCTCTGTTGCCTGCAGGTTGTTTGGATAACAGCCACTTTGCCTTATGTTGTATTATTTGTCTTGTTAATACATGGAACAACCCTGCCTGGTGCATACAATGGAATAAATGCATACCTGCACATAGATTTCAGAAGATTAAAAGAAGCCACAGTAAGTGTACTCTTCTGCTCTTATTGCCTTGTTATTATTAAACCTGTTGCTCCTGTTATTAAAACTAAAAATATTAGAGCTAATTCCTGAAATTATATAGCCACACTTCTGCTTTTGCATAAGCACTAGTCCACTGTCCCTGACAGTCTAACTTTCCAACACTCTTCATAACAGGACTATCTCAGCCTGAACAGTTTCAGGTGTGGCAGTCCCTTAAAGTCAATGCTTTGATTGTGCACCCTGTGACTTTGGTATCCTTTATACATGAAAATTGAGTCATGCAAAAATTTAGTTCTCAAAAGGCTAAGAATTCCCTCAAGAAGAAAATTTTGCTTTTTTAATCACTAGGTTAAACATTAACCTGGTAAGGAAAAATCCTGGATTATGAAAAACCTTGCTAAACATACTAAGTCAGGACTAACTCACCTAATCATGGTCCTTCATACAAATGAGATTTTCAATAGCATGATGTTCTTATCTTACTATTGAAAGTAATGTACGTTTCTCTGTATCATTTAACAACATTGCAAGTCATTCTCATTAAATATATGCAAACCAACTCAATTTGTAGAGTACCTTGGAACTAAGAATTATTTCATCCATTGTAAAGCAAGATCTACAAGTATGGTCACTAACTCATGAAATCACTAGCATTTCAGACCTACGAAGTACAATGATCTGGTGACTACAGATAGATCTTACCACTGTGCTATTCTAAAAATATCATAATTTGTAAGACAGTGGTATCTCTGTGGATGGGTCACGAGGCCATTCAAATGGTTACAAAATTTAAAAGCGAGGACATAGTTCTACTAGAAGGAAATGAACTGTCTCAAAAATTTGCAGCTTTCAGAGATGTCTGTAGTCTGTACATAGTTGTACTGTACATTTCCTATGTATCCTATCTTGATTCTTCATCAATAACTAAAAAGGCAGACAAAGACCTTGAGTGTTAGAATACAGACCTATTTTATATACTCTTAGCAAACCAATCCTTCCTTGGTTTTGTAATATTAAATTTGGGAACTGACATTTCTTCAACAACAGAAGTTGTCACCAGAACCCAGACCCCATCTCACTCCATTTTGGAATAGTCAAACCGAACTTCAAATATGGGACTTTCATCCACCTTTGTCACCAAGGCGGTAGCCACCTCAGTAGTTCACGTTTATGCATACACATAAATACAAAGATGCAAGGATGAACAAAGGAGGTGCTTAAATTTTCCTTATATATTTTAAGTGCTGTTTGGAAAAAAACATCACAAGTTCAACTAGATGTCTATGGAGCTGTGCCAGCTTACATCAGTTCAGAATCTAGGCCTCCATAATCATAGCTGCCTTCTGCTTTTAGAAGGATATTCTGTGCACTGTTCTTTCTTGGATTAATATTTCTGCAGCTGCTATTTGGATGACCCTAAAGTTATTTGTTTCGAAGACTAAATTTTTCAGACAACAAAAAAAAGTTGCTCTATAATAATAAAAGGCTAAAGATCATTTATAAGGAGAAGTTTCACGAACTGCTTTATCACGTCAGCCTTCCTCCTGCTCGGAGACTGAGATACCTGCTGCTGCAATAGGCTTCTATGTCTTTGTCCTCAGTCTTCGAAGAATAGACCTGCTTCAGTTCTATGTCAATGTGTCCCTGAATCTTTCTGATTTATGATTTTTTTTTTCTCCCAAACAAAGAATCTAACAAAGAAACATCGTAAGTCACAAACAGTAATGACCTACAGAGGGCTCTGCCAATGCTCTTCTAAAAGATCTTAGAGCATCCTGATCAGTGTCAAGGTCTGCCTCATTTTATAGGACCACATACTGCACAGCACTAAGCAAGCCCTCAGACACCTCAGTTTTCAGGGTATTAAATCCACAAAGGGTGTCTCTATAAAAAGGAGAGAAAGATATTCACCTGAGAACCTCTTAACTAGACCAATGCCTAGCTATGTTCCTTGCTGAAAGTCCAGAAGCTAAAAAGCCCTAATACTCATCTCCACTGCACAAATGGATACATTAAACACCTGTGTAAAACAGCAGCTACACTTCTGTTCTGCTAAAGGAACAGGCGTTAAATACAGAGTTACATCAGACATGAGAAGACACTCGCCCTTTCATACACCTTAACAAGTTTCCTGAAGATTATATAACATCTGGGGGTGCACACCATGTTTCCTCCCCACAGAGCACAGTAATTCTTTAAATCCACATACACAAGAAAGAATATGCACAAAAGTTATACTGGCATAAACAACCATGAAGAAAGCTGGAAAGATTGATGTCTGCCTCCTGTAAAACGTTTCTATTTTTTCATTTTTAATGCATACAAAAACAATATCCTCCCATAAAATATATTAGACTAATGCATCAATCAGAAGCCATTCAGCTGAAGTGAACAGAGAACATGAGCATAAACTGCAGAACCAGCCCCACTGTCTGTTTCACATCCTGCTTTGTTATAACAAAGGGAATGGTTTGCATTTAATATTAGTTCTAAAGGAATTTCTGGTGTCTGCTCTTTTTTCCCTTCACCTTGATCTTCTCAATTTGTTTCCTAATCAGCTACTATGAGCCAAGACTCTTACTCAAAAGATACTTAAGCATAGGTATAACTCCTTTGGTAGGCAGCAGGTGCTAACCTCTTATTTGAATCAATAGAACTTAAGCAGATGCTTAGCGGTGCTTGAATAGTAAGAAAGGGGAAGTATAATGAGTACAACTCCACTGGCAAGACACAAAAGAGCTAGAGAACCACAAAAAACAAGTGCCTTATGGTGGCAGCATGCAGATCTAGTTATAGTTTAAGCAAAATTTATTTTAAAAAAATTCAGGAACTTCATAAACAACACAAGTTATGGGAAGTTTTAAAAAACAAGAAAAACTATAGGAGGCTTTTCATCTCTCCTTCTGCACTCTTATCCACATAAACGCTCTTCAGAGAGTACAACCCTATTTGATCTCAACCTTTGTGTGGAGATAGAACATTAAGATGTAACTGGGTATATAAAAGGAATGAGCAACAAATTAATTTTACAGGATTGTTTTGTTATTTAGTAAAAGAAATCCATGATACCCAGAAGTCCTGTATGAACTGCAATTTGAGAAAAATCATATCCACCTGTCCACTCGTATGCAATAAACACATCATGGATTGTTCTTCATATTATCTTTCAAATAATTAACTTTCAACAGTTCATAAAATTAAGTTTCTCTACAAATCCAGAGTTCAATAAATGGTTCACAGTCTTCAACAGGCAGTAGTTGAAAGCATCTATCATCTATGTTGAGAAAAAAATAGATCACTACCTTAGCATTAAAATCCCAATGCAGGTGGAGCTCATAAGCTGCTTAGATCTGTTAGAAAGCTGCAGCTGAATAGATATATTGGATCTGATTTTGTAGAGATGGATGGAGATGAAATCCAGTGCTTTTCATGGTCTTGAGCACTTGGCAGATTTAATCAAACATTGAAGATTTAATCAAACATTTTGAGAAACGTTGAATATTATTCACTCCATTGACTTCATTACCCTTGTTGAAGATGCTTGTTTAAACATCTCTGTGTAACCAGGATAGATTATTTTCAGGCTTCTGATTCAGGAGACCAGCACTGTGGCATTGTTCCTGACTGCTGTCTGCACATCTTGAGTGGATGTTGGGCTGGAGGGCCACTTTAGAAAATTTTGTAGCATTAAAAACATGTTTTCCCTAGTGGACAATGCTTAAAATGACCAAGCTGCATCTAAACCAAAATTTAATGACTATCACAGGAACAACTCCATCTCCAACTAAATGGGAAAGGTGACAGATAACCTGCATGGTTCTGTTCACAGCATGTCAGTTGTGCTTCAGCTTCTGAAACAAGAAAGCATATAAAGTGTACTAACAGTCCCATGAAGAAAGCTCTCTTATGGGAAAGAAAATGTCCTGTAACTCTTGACCCATTAACTATTTTTAGTTTTCTGATTGTACATTCCAAACTAACTTGGAACAAAAACTACTGCAAGTGCATTTTTGTCACCCGGGAGAAAAATCATGTAATCATTTCAGTACTTGGTAAAAGCTCAGAAGTACAGATCCAAGTGGTACACCCCACTGTGGCTGCAGCGTGCATGCACTGAGAACTTGGCCACTGCTTCGGCCCTTACCATTTCGGGTTAAGCCATTCCAGACCATGACTGTGCTCCATGTGACGTCTTATGGGGGCTGAGAAGCACTTACACTCCCATAAGCATGAATGCTAATCATTTTTCAAAAGCCAGTTGTCTTGTACACTCTTGCATTTCCCTGACGTATCTTTTGGACTGAACTGACACTGACAATGTTGGTGTCATTATGCAGGTATGGATTGATGCAGCTACTCAGATATTTTACTCCTTAGGAGCCGGGTTTGGTGTTTTAATTGCATTTGCCAGTTACAATAAGTTTGACAACAACTGTTACAGGTAAGACAGCCTATTCTTTCACTACTGCTTCAGAATGATACTATTTTACTCTAACTGCAGCTGGCATAAGTACTGAGCTATCTTTTTATCTTCAGCCATTTATTAATGATGGTCAGTCTTGTGTGGACATAGCAACCAACCCAAATCTTGAAACACTGCCTTCCTTACTGAAATTTTAGTAACAGGAACCTGCCAAGATATCTGCTGTACAGCAAAACAGAATGGGATTAGGTTTGGACTTTAGACAGCTATGTAAACTGTGCTTGTGTTTGCCTTTCAAAAGTACCATTAAGAGCAACAGTGAACACACAGGATGAAATCTTACTGGTCCAGGACCTAAAGGCAGAAGGATTCCAGTTTCCAGAAGTGTTTCTGTGCTTTGGGGTTGTATTTCTGATAGTTTACATTGAGCTCCAATTTAGGCATGCACTTTAAATCAAGTCAGTTTGTAAGTGTTTTGTTGAATCACCGCCATGGAAATTCAACCAGAACTGCTCTGCACCTTCTGAGAACTTCCAACATTTAGAAGTTTTGTTAACATTCCATTTTGGAATGAAAACAAGCATCGCTTTAAAATTTCCCATAAAATATAAATTCAGAAAGTACATGTGTTATAAATACATTGTGAACTGAAGGATGGCAAAAAAATGTTAAAGTGAAAAGGTACAAGAAAATATATAGATTTGAACTGCCTTAAGCGGATTGAAAGCCAAAATCATGGAATACTTCCACTGACTTCAAAGAGCTTTGTACTTAATCCAGAACGACTTTAGGTTGCCAGCTGATTGTTTGCAGTAGGTAATATTACCAGGTTTGAGAACCCTTCAGTTAGAACACTAGCCAGCAGTCTTCCAAGATAACATTTATCATCTTCTGCAAATAATTTTGCATTAATCTCATAGCAGCCCCCTATATAATTGTTTTTCTTCTGTTTTTCTAATTCTAATTTTGCTCTGAAATGGAAATGATGAAAACACCACAGACTATATATGAAATCGTATTATTTAGTTCCTAGCTTACTATATTTGTTCAATGTTCTTCATAAGCCTTGCCTTCCCTGTAAGAGTAATCTGTAGTTTCATTAAATACTGTGGTTTAGTTCTAACCATAAAAGCAAGCTTCAATTCAACACTTACAAATATCCTTCTTCTGGTCAAATAACTCCATAATGTGCTAACACATTTTGTTCAAAAGGCTTTCTTGAAACAGAACAAATTGAAAATAGTACTGTTTCCAAATGAAGGCCATGACTCAGGGCTACACTGTCCCATCTATGCTTCAACACACCTTCCTTCAGAGGAATAGTGTCAGTAATGTAAGGTAGGGTAGCAATACTGAAAATCAGGGCCAGAAAATATGAGAATCTGTACTTAAATTATGATCTAGTTTCACATGCAAAATACTGAGAGCTAGCTCAGCTCAGTGTATAAGGAGATAAGCATCACATAATCCAGTTATTGACTAAGCGAAAAGAAGCATTATTCACTTGCATAAGAATGTTTTTGAATTGTGGGAAACAAGAAATGCTGTTGCCATCTTATCAGTGACAAATACCTAGCAATTTTCTTCTTTAAAGACTGAAAAGAATTTGAGTTTATGGGTCCAGTCTGGTCTCTCTTGATCCTGCAGCCTTCCCTCAGGAAAACTCTTTAAGAATTACAGGACATAAATTCTTCTATGTTATCAAAATAAAGTAATATAAGGAAGAGGATAAAGTTTGGTGTATGGCACGTATGTTTTTGGGTAGTGTAACTAATGAAAGGAAATCGCATTTACTTTCTGCTTATTACAGCACTGTTTGGCATTACTGACGTTCACAGAGCCATGTTCTCTGTTCTAAAGGTCGTATGCAGCAAAAGATTACATACAAGACACCGTGCAGATTAAGTAGACATCTAAAGACGTATGGTCTACTTATCTTCAAGCTAGGTTTGGTAGTAGGGGTTATTAATACCCAGGAAAACTTATACGTCTATCATAATACCATGGCAGATTGATTAAAAACCTCAACTTGTACAATCATTACTATATGATGCACACTGTATAATATTTAACCTTTAAACTAAATTCACTATTGTAGCAATCTGATAAACAAGAGTTGTATTTTTTTCAGAAAAGCCTAGCCAACTTCATAGATGAAAGGACATCGTTACAGATTAAAGATGGTTATCCAGTGCCATGTGAATGGCAGCACAGTTTGCTAAAAATGCACTGAAAATACTCCTGAATATCTGCTCACGTGAATTGATGAATAGCAAGGCTCTTTCACTTCAGGCCACCCTCTTGCTATGCTACGGCTAACAGCTAGGATGATGACATTACTCTTTAATATCTTAATATTTAATATAGCTTTTTTGATTTTTTTTTTTAAACAGAACCCAGTTTTAAATCAAAATAGCAAACAGAAGTAGGTCATCTCTGAGCGTAGTATGCTGACATAAGCTTTTGATCATCAGGATAATTGCACAATTAGCATTTTCACAACAATCTTCCTATTGCTGTAAGACAATTCCCATCTAGTTCTTAAAGTGGTTTTTTTCACCGGGCTGTTCTTCTCTCCATCTTTAGGGATGCTTTGCTGACTAGTACCATTAACTGTGTCACAAGCTTCATCTCAGGATTCGCAATTTTCTCCATATTGGGCTACATGGCTCACGAGCACAAAGTTAAAATTGAAGATGTAGCCACTGAAGGTAGGAAGTTAATTTTATACTAGTTTTACCACTTTTTGTCCACCATTTCTTTGCAGATGTGTTTATATTTGTTTCAAACAAGTGTGTGAAAATCTCACAGAAGTGATCTGAATTAAATTACTTGGAACTAAAACTCTGTGTGTACATGCCTTGCTGAAATGTGAACTCTAAATGGTATTGATTCATCTCACTGCTACTGAATTGAGGTTCTTGCCCCTCACAAGTTCAGCCTGTGCAACAAACAGGCATTTACCACTCCACAACATCTTGCGAAAATATTGCTGTTCAGTGCCATAGGTTACTGTTTTGGATGGTTCTGGTAGGCTTAGCTGTAGAGTCCTTTCACTGGTAACAGGTCACCCATGATTTCAGTTCCTGTATCTCTCATCACATCCAAGAGTTCTCCTGCCAAACAGTGGAGTCCACATCCACAGGGTTCCCACTCTACTACATAGTTGAAAAATAGCTAGTAAGGTTGTGAATCCCATAAAAGATTATTAGAAGTTAAAAAGAATGGGATAGATTTTTTTTTTTAATATAAAACTGTCATGAGTACATTATTAAAATATATTTTGGATATTTTTCTGGTATAATGCAAATTTTGTTTTAACAGCTCCTCAGTGTGATGTGGACTGATGTAAAAGTCAACTTAGTCATGATTTATCTTATTAAAATGAACAAACTTGTGAAGCTAAAAAACATCATTTACTAATAGTTTGTTGGGTTTTTTTTCTTTTCTATTTCAGGAGCTGGTTTAGTTTTCATCCTGTATCCAGAGGCAATTTCAACTCTTTCAGGATCTACATTTTGGGCTGTGGTATTCTTCATCATGCTCCTTACTCTTGGCATCGACAGTTCTGTGAGTATTTTTTCCTTCTGGCCTTGACATTTTTCTTTTACTGTTATATTCTGTATCTGGAGAGGTATCAACCTTAAACAGGGACTTTATTACATTTCAAATAAATATTCTGTACATTCCCTGAATCTGTTTTCACAGTCACAACCAATATACCAATAGTATTACTTCTGGCAGTATATTCAGAGACTCACAATATGTAAGAGTTTTAGGAAAAGATCAAATCTTTTACAAGCTAGCAAGTAATTACTCACTGCTGCTTTTTCATGACCTTACAGAGGGGCTGTTCATCAACAATTATTACTATTTAAAGGTATGACCCAACATCACTGCTATGAACTATGACTACTATGAACTGCAATAAGGTTTTGGAACCCTACTTGCAAAACACAAGGCACAGTAAGACATTGAGTAGAGTGGTTTCTAGAAGAGATTTTTACATGTGCTGAAATTCATTAATCTGCTCAAGATACACAATGTCTGAAGGTAGTCTGATTTTTTTTCTATAAACGATGACACAGAACTTCCTGTAAGTTTAGTTACAATTTAAAAATCACACCAGAGTATTTCCATAGTGGTTTCATCTTACTACTATCTTACTGTAAAATGTCTAGTCTAACGAGTGTATTTGCTCTTTCCATAACCTAATGACTTTTACTGTACCATGATATTCAGGATCACAGACACTTCATCCCAGAAAATATCCCAAGTCCCCTAACAACTTTTGTAATGCTTTGTTCTTGCCAAAGAGGCATTGAGACATCCTGTTATATTTAGCTTAAAGGTTAATTAATTTCTGGGAAAAACAAACAGGGTCTTTAAGTAATAGTGAACCATGAACAAATTCATCATTTTTAGTAGGGTAGGGGTTTCTTACTATTCTAAAGCATAGAAATCTCTTTTGTAGTTCCAAATGTAGGAATTTCTTGCTGGAAATGGCAAAAAACAGTGTTTCCATTGCTTACAACTTCAGAAAACTTCATTCATTTTCAAGGACAAGAAAGGGAAAGAATGAACTGCCATGGAGGAGAGCAAAACTAAGAAAAATGAGGTTGCAGCAGGAAGCTTTGATAATCATTGGCAAAGAGCTGAAAGAGATCTTGTGGAGTGAGGTCTGAGCTGTAAAGGTCAGATTCAGGTCTAAATGTTTCCGAAGTGGTTGGATTTTTGGACTCCAGCTCAGGTTCAATGAAGTCTGTCTTTATACACTAGGATCTGGATCCTTATTCAAATGTTTGAGGCAAGATTATATGTGGGTTTGTAGCCTGGCCCTTTTTCAACTGTAAGCAAACATGAAGCACGGAAAGGAAGGGTTTAGCACAGTGGAAGGGCATGAATGACCAGCAGGAACAGCGCAGAATTAAGAAGAAAATACATGCTCAGAAGTGTTTAGATCCAAAACAGTTAACTCTGCAACAGCAGTAAATTTAAGGCAATGTAAAGAAACATTTGAGTGACAAACACGCAGGGCTTTAGATTGCAGAACACACTTATCATACAAGTGGAGAAAGCTCTTTCTTGTGGAGCTAATTAAAATACTATGAACTGATAAACTGTGGCCAAGTTTAGCTGTTTCTTTCTAAAAGGGGAGGGATTTACTTGTGCATATTTTGTTCAGGATTTTTCATCATTTACCTAAGAAAACTCAGGTCAGGCAGTATTTTTTATGGTGGCCTTCTCAATTCTCCCCCCACATTTGACTGATCAAGTCCCTGAAGGGAAAACTAAAATTTTTAAAG